TGTATTGACGTGATGGGAAATGGCAAGTGGTACCAGTGGACTTTGAACGAAGCGTGCGTGCAGAAGGCGTTAAATAATTACCTGGCTGATTATTCGTATCTTGATGGTTATACACCTTCGCAACTTGATTTATCGGTTTATCAATCATTGAAAGAATTGAACATTGATTTTGCAAAGCATCTACACATTAAACGTTGGTATAATCATATCGCGACATTTACGGACGAAGAAAAGGCTGTATTTCGTGTGGAACAAAATCAAATAATGCCGAAACTTGCATACATTAATCAGAATCAAACCAATAATGATGATACATTTGAGGTAAAGTCGTACGTATTTAATATATAAATAATATTTTTATTTAGAAAGAAATTGCAAAAATTTTGATTTTTTTGTTCATAATATATGTTTCTTATTATAGCTAACTGGGAATGAGACAAATGTAGATTTATGGATGTTATCGCGTGTTAGTTACGCTGCCGGAACTTGCGACGAAGCAATTAAACAGTATGACTTTGCATTAGCCACTACTACCTGTTACAATTTATGGTTATACGATCTGTGTGATGTTTATCTGGTAAATTTTTTAATATAATTTGTTATAATATAAGGAAAAAAATTTGTTATAATAATATAACAATTTGCGTGTCTAGGAATATCTTAAAACAATTTTCCAAAGTGAAGATAACGCGGCTAAGTTAGCAGCTCAAAAAGTATTATTTATAACACTGGATGTGGGATTGCGTTTATTGAGCCCATTTATGCCATTTATAACAGAAGAATTGTATCAACGTTTACCTCGTAAAAAGTTAATATATCCAAGTATATGTGTAAGTCCGTATCCGGATGTTGTTAAGGTAAATAATTATATATTTTATAATCATGATAATAAAACATACAATTAAAATATCATAATACCGTAATATGTCTGATATTTCAGTGTTGTTGGAGAAATCAAGAAATTGAAAAAGACGTTGATTTTGCGCAAAAAATAATTAAGAATATTCGCTCTACTCGCGCGACTTATAATTTACCTAATAAAACGAAAACCGAAGCGTATGTCACGTGTAGCAATCCAGCATTAAAGGAGAAAATTATTCGGTATAAATTACTCATAGAAACTCTTGCGTACTCTGTTCTCAGTATGCAAAAACCACCAGTAGGCTGTGCTATTATTACTGTAACTAATAAGATTCAAGTGCATCTATTACTACAGGTAATTAACACATCATGTAATATACATATATACAGAGTGTAACTAAAATAAAGTAACAAACTTCGGGCTTCTCACCAAAAAACATGAAAAAAAGTTCATATGAACATATAATCCATAAATTCACTGTTACTGAGATATAGCTCAAAGTGTGGGCAACTCGGCCCTGAAGTTTATTTTAGTTATCTTATTTTAGTTACATCCTGTATATATTAATTATTATTATTATTATATATAATTATATATTACGCTCACGCACAAAAAACTAAGTTTTTTCACAAATTTTTCAAATTTCACAATATTTTCAAATAGCAATATCTCAGTGAAAAATTATCGTATCAAGATTTTTAAAAAACATTTTAAAGCTTCAAATCTCTACTTTTCAGAACGGTACTTCAAAAAACGGTGCTACTAATATTTCATAAAGTTACACAAACATAAATGAAGATGCATAAATTCTCAAAACTTTTTATGAAATTTTCGAAGTTCCACAACACCAATTAAAAAAATTACGCACAAATGAGGTTTATAGCTTTCGTAAAAATGAATCTTTACATGTAATTTGCTTTTTTATAGACCTCTGTACAATTTTTTTCACCGAGTTATTCGACATTGAAACAAAAAGAGTCGTTTTTTTGCGTGTGAGTGTATATTTATTATATGAATATAATAAATAAATATTTCGCAGGGTTTAATTGATTCAAAAAAAGAATTAGAAAAATTACAAAAGAAGAAAAGCCAATTGATCGAAATTATACAAAAATTGAAACAGGATTTAGCAATACCCGATTATAATGTAAAGGTACCTCTTGATGTTCAAAAGAATAACAAAGAAAAATTAGTCAATCATGAAGACGAATTGCAGCGAATTATCGACGCAATAATGATTTTACAAACAATGTAGAAAGTAAATCTATTGAAAGTTTTGTAAACTCTGTATTATTTAACAGTAAATAACTTATTTGTTGAATTCATAGAAAATTTAGTTAGACATGTTTCTTTTTCGTATACGCACACTTTTTTAAACACGTTCCATATTGTGGATTACCGGTGACACATTTGATTTTCCGTTTGGACGTTTTAATTATAAAAGGAAATACATAATTATATATATGTATAGCTGAAATCTTTCTATATGTAGTCGAAATCTCCAGTGAGAGCCTTCAGAACACATAAGACAGAACAGATACAAAGAAACAAGTACCGTGACCTCCAGTCAACTTCGTCGAGATTAATAGACATAATATTTTTCTATTAAATAAATCTCATATTATATAGGTGATAATTTCGGAAGTCGAATTTGGAAATCTTTTACTATAGACAAATGATTTTAGTACTGAATTATTTAACATTCCATTATATGATTTTTATATTGAAATATGTTGAATATATACAGGATATTTTAATCAACGTAGGCGAAACCATATAAGATGTCGAAATTCTGTTTTTTATGAATATATTTTTAAAAAATCATATAGTTTTATTTAAGAAAATAAATTTGACTTTTATTTCACTTTGACGTTTTCACCCAAAGTCAAATTCTTTTCAAAGTATGTCTTCTTCGATAATATATAATCACATAAAAACAGGATTTTAATATCTTGCATGGTTTCAGAGAAATTCAAATGCGTTAATTAACTTGGGACATTCTTTTCATTTTCCTCAAAACTTATTTTTCTCATTATTTTCATCAAATAAACATAAAGCATATTCTTTTTATTGTCGATATATCTGACACAAATAGAAATTCGAAAACGAGCGTTAAAAAAATTAATAGAAATTATACTATTATTATTATATTATTACTGACAATCTAGGATAGGAGGGTGTAATAATTAACAAGCTCATTTTTAATTATGTTTCATTTTATCGTAAATTTTCTGACGGAAGCAGTCTTCAAACAAAACACGATGGTGCGTACCATTAACATGGAATAAGTGGGCACATCGCGACTATTGCGTAAAAATATTTGCGTATTCATTCTAACGCCATCGAAGGATTTTCCTGATGAGATTCTTGGTGATATTAAAAACGTATATTCGGATGTTTGAGGATGCTGGCAATCTCACCGAGAAAGTCGCGTCCGCGGCATCGATATCCTACATAATATTTTCTCTTTCTTGGGACGTTATCGCAATGTGCCTGTTAAATAGCTGCGTGTACTCGAGTGTGTGCCGAGTCGTATAATACAGCAAAGCCGAATATTTTAGTGTAATAAGTTGCGCGTGCTATCCGTAATGTTTGTGTGCGGAGACGATGAATTTAGATTCTCGTCATGACAACGAGCCGCGTTCCAATAATTTTCGCGGACATCATAACAAACATAAGGAAGAAAAAAGTATAGTGTTCCAAAATAATTTACAGACAGAACATAAGAGAGAGAAACAGAGAGAGATTAATATTAGTCTTCCAGTTCTCTCTTCCTTTCTGTATAAAGACATCATCATACTCTAAAAATGTTTATCGTGGTCGAGCCGCTCCGGCTCGACTATTCGATCGTATTGCGTGCGTTCCGATTAAATTTAGCGAAAGCAAAAAGATTAGAGTGTGGAAGATACAGTAACGATCGGTCAGATATCGTTACGGCATCCACGAGTCGAACACGTATGAGAGCGAATGTGATACACTCTTTTTGGAGAACATATTTGAATAGATTCATCAAGATATGATGTACTCTTCAATATTCACGAAATAATTCAGAATTCTCCACGAAGAATATATCAGAGAAGCTCTCATTCTGTCATCGACCGCGCTAAATC